GTTAGCAACACAGCTCTGGGACAATTCCCCAAATCACTAGCATGTGCTGTTCACAGCACATGTATTACATTGCGCTGTCTGAACTTCTCAGATAGAAAACAGCATTTACAAACATCTATCCCAGCAGGACACAATGCAATAGAAGTTGCACGGCCCCCTGTGCTATAGCTGTTCCCATGAAGAAAGAATTACTATCTATAATGCCAATCTCTTCATTAGAAAATGTATTTCTGTTATACCAGAACTTAAGAGTTGCTAGTTTTCTGAACACTTTTGAAACAAACAAGTACACAATTCAAGGCTTCATTTAGTCACAAATGCTTCTCAACTTGGAAGCTTTTAGATCACAAAGGTGAAAAACAGTCATACTTTTTCATTTGCATTGTTGCTTTCCCATTGACTGTGACACTTACTACAGTTTATGATAAAGTACACTGTTGTAACATGGGACGACGACAGAGTTGGAGAGTCTCCCAAGCACTTTTATGCTGCTACACTCCCGAGTCTACCAAAAGCTGAGACAGTCCTTACATGGCTGAGACCTCCCCTAAGTCCAGCCAAGCAGATTAGTTTCTCAGGGACTGTCCTGCCCGACCACAGTATTATGTGCTGTAGTGCCCCAAGCCAGCTCTGCCTACACTTACCTTGCATGTACGTAGGGCAGTAAAATAGCAATAGTTTTTTTACATCATCCTATACTTCTCGGAGAGGATTCTCACCTTTTTTTTTTGGGGGGGGGGAATATCCAATCTAAACAAGAGAGCTCTTCATTGAGATCAAGGATTTAGATCTAATTGTGATTCTGTGATGAATAATTTAAAATAATAATTTCTGTTTATGGCCTAAGACCTAACAAGTATAAAAACACTCAAAATACCCTTTACAGTAAAAAATAAACTTTTTCTTTAATTTTTCTACCCATTCTCTGATGAAAGGCAGAAGAGACTAGTATCTACTGGCAAGAACATTAAGTGCAATAAAACCTGCATAGTTGATAACATAATGCTGGAATTGGGGACATGATCTAGGTCTGGCCGTGTAACTGAAGCTGAAAATTACAGAATAGCTGGTTTAGAGTACTGTAAAGCATAAGGTATTTTATACCTGCATCTTTAGCACTCAAGCACAAGTATCATCTAGAACCAAATCTCAGCATATTCAGTGGGAATGGAGATGCTCATAAACAGCACTTAAAATACTTACATAGAGCCCAAAAGAAAACAGGTTTGTTCCTTTCAAATAATTTCAAAGATTATCACACAGAAAGCTATTGTGTGCTAATTTGGACACTTTTCTCCATAAACAAGCAATATAAAAAGCCTTAACATTTTCGTATCAGGGTAGACACATGAGATTTCCAGAAACCAAAAATTAACTCAAATCATGAAGACCATGAATGACATTAACAAAGCCATCATTGCATTATACAAAGTCTTTCGCAGCAGTAGAGGTTTAAGATATCCACCTACCCTGGGTTGTTCATTTCACCTCACGCATCACCTTTTCCTGTCTCCATTCTGTCTGCTGCCTTGATTGCAGAAGCACAACTGCTTGTGGAGCTGTTCTGTGAAACAGATTAAAATAGCGATCTGACTTTCTCTTTCTGCAGAGTCTATTTAAGTCAGTTTGGTTCCCTGACCTATTTTGCAGAGCAGTACCACCTATATTTGTGTCAACACAACATCGTAAGGCTGTAGCTTTGTAAAAACTCAGACCTAGCATTATCATCCAGCACTGCCCTCCTCCCAACCCTTGTGCATTGCCCCATCATGTGCTGGTGGAAGCATCTGTACAGCTACACAGAAAACTGTATTTGGGTTAAAGCATCTTGTTTTCCACTTGGTTAGTTTTAATCCATGTCAATACCCCAACCTGCATCAGAACATAGCGCCACAAGCACTTTTACTATCTGCTGGGAGAAGGGACTACAGGGTCTGTAAAAAAACCCCGAGATTGAAACTACTTCCCCATTGGTAGGGTGATGCCTTATGCAGGTGAAAGGATATCTGAAACTCAAGATACTAATCTGCAACTCTCAAGTTATATACAGGTTGTAAATTTTTGAAGAACAGTTGTGAGTTCTCAAAGAATGACCACTTGATCAACAGCAGCACTACTGAGCACCTGAATAGTTGGATAATTCCTAATTGGAAGAGGACAGGAAGCACTAGCATTAAGATTTTGGCATTTATGACCATATCCAGGTTAGAATTTACCCATCTTAGAAGATCTGAATATTGCTTGGAAGCACCAAGTATTTAGACTCGATTCTATTTAAACATGTATCTTGAGTGATGTAGCATCTACTTCAACATGTCATGTGATGACAAATGCTGCTGCATGTAGCTACAAGATCCAGACTTTCAGCAAATTACTTTTGAATCTCAATGGACCTCTATCCCTAAGTCATTCAGTACAGTTATTAGCTCATTAAAATCCTATTTTATTTCTTTTCTCATAGTGCAAGTGCAATTCTAATATTGTCCTGTGCTCAGAGGAACCTAGTAAGACCTAAAACTAACTACTCATTTACCGCATTCCCTCATCTGAAAAATAATTCAGTTAAGTACAAAAAGAGAAAGACTGAACATTATAAAGTCCTATTTTCACAATGTTAGTATAAGAAGTTTCATTCTCTCTTGACAAATGCTACTGCAGTTTAAATCCTGACACATAGTGAACTATGAATTTGATTGTTTTCATTAACAAATTACTTTTTTCACAGAAAGCATCCAGGCTGTGGTAAGAGGGCTCCTGAGATAAATATGACTAAGCAGCGGGGGTTAATTAAGTAGGACAATGAGTAAGCATTTATGGGTGTGATAGGAGATCCAGCTGATTTAATTGCTAGTCTAATTATCAATTAGAGAATCAAGAAATGGCATGTAAGTGAAATATTCTATTTGTTGATAGTTTAATGATTTTTAGAGACCCAGAAGAGCAGTATTAATTGCTATTTCAGGACTACAGAAGGAATCTTTTTTCTCCTCTTACTCAGAGGTTCTTAGTACTTCTAAAACAACTAATAAATGTATATAGTCTTCTCATACTCAAATATTTCAGGCCTTTAGATCCTTTGCTCTATTAAAAAATCAAATAAAAAGCTAGCAATTAAGCATTCAAACACACTACCTATAAACCACTCAGCTTAGGTCAAAACCTTTCTGCATTTATTTTATAATAAGGATAACAACTGTCCAATGGTGTGAAAAAGTCACATTAACTATTTACAGTGTGTTTGCACAACCCAGTTTCCAGACAAAAAGAAAGGGGTCAGGGAACTATTTAAAGCCAGAAGGGCAAAGAGCCAGTTGGCTACATTCATTGTTCAAATGTTTTATAAAGCAACTGCAAGAAAATAAAATTACAAAAAAAATTGATCGAGAGCCAAAAATATTAACATATTGGAACACAGTGAACTTTTTACAAGCTGTAAATATTTTTTGGGTTCTCACATATAACCCATAAAGTATGTTGAGGTCTTTCTCAGAACTTCTAATATTAGCACGTAGTTTGTAAAGAACAACATCTACCAAAAAAAGAGATCAGAAAGACACTGTATGTCACAAGACCAGTTATTTCCCACTGCAATTGCCAAAAGGTAATTTTGGTGTATATCAAGAGGACCTAGGAACAGGAGACAGAAGGTTAAAAAACTAGGAAACAGAAGCAAACACCCATCATAGCACATATGATCTGAGCTTTGGACATGTTAACAAGCCGATTCTTATCAAAATAAAAAAACAGCATCCTTCAACCATTTTTCATGTCCATTACGAACTGCAAGATTTTGGCTGTTGAACAACTCCCTTGTCCACGTTTAAAATAGACTCTTAACAACTCAGTATCCAGAAAGGTGTCCAACTATTCGTTTTCTGCTAAGGTGAGCCTAGCTAATCAGTAAGTTACAGAGTTTAGACAACACCTCTTCCTCTGAAATATGGCTAACTCCTCAAGCAAGGTAACAGCTTTTCATCAGCTTAATCCAAACATGTTTTCCTACTGAATAACATTCAAAAAACAAACACTCAAAGCCACCCCAAAAAATTACTGACAACGTACACTTTCCCGGGTTTCCTGAGGGCCCTAAAGAAAACCCAGAACGGGCACTTCCAGCCTTTCACCTAAGAGACACGGTTACGGTATCACTCCAGGAGCGCTACTCGCCCGTGTGGGGACGACAGAAGGACAAAGAAGCGAAGGGGCCGCTCCCTCAGAATCACCTGAGGGAGGGCGCGCCTGTCCTTCCCGCCCTTTTGTA